TACTATACTACTACTATAACACAATATTGTGATACTCTCATATATATATCTTAATAGAGGTTAGATTCAATTTAATTCAATTCAATTTTATATGTATAGCGCCACATCACAACAACAGTTGTCTCACAGCTTTCCAAACAGAGCAGGTCAGACCCTACTCTGAAGTTAACTACAGAAACCCAACAATTCCCACCATGAGCAAGCACTAGGCGACACAGGCAAGGACAAACTTCCTTTTAACAGGCAGAAACCTGGAGCAGAACCATGGCTCAGGGTGGGCATTCAGGTAATGCATCCAGCATTACCTGAAAACTTTCATTCGGTCTTGGACAAACCACAGATCATATTTGGGGCCCTGATCCCTCTGAGATGAGGAGCCCAGTTTACCTGAGTGTGCAGATTCACCATGTCGGCCTCCATCTCTGAGTTGGATTCGTTCAGCTCATTTATCTCCTTGTTGAGCTGCTTGATGTCTTCATCATTGTCCAGAACTGAGGGACAGTAATAACACACAGTGAGCAGAGGTCATAGAGAGTCCTGGACTACTCACACATTTCCATTTTTAAATTCAAATGCTGAATAATAACTGCACATATTTTCTTTAAAACTGGTAACAACACAGAGCAATGCGAGTGGACAGAATACTGTCCTCTTACCGTCACTCGCTCTGAACTTTGCAGTTATGTACTCGTCTCCGGGCAGCTTTGCCCTCTTCTTATTGGCTGACGCTCTGGGACAACCTGACAGACTGAAAGATCCAGAAAGGAGGTGAAATAAGAATGATTTGGAAGGTGATTCGGAGGGTAGAGTCCATCCTAAACATCAGAGTCTTCCACAAACAGGACTCCCACTCATCATTTCTGATGACTCAGCTACTAAGTTTGCCCCCCCGGGGAACGCGGGGCTGGTGAGGGCGTGCTTTAGGTACCTGCGGTGCGTCAGGAAGCTGCCGTTGGCGTGGCCGGAGCCGTCGCAGCCCGGCGTGGGGCACGTGGGCCCCTCGGTTTTGAAGGCCTTCCAGGAGAAGGGCGTGCCGTTCAGAAGCCCCTCCCTCTGCCGGCGCGCCGCCAGCGGGCAGCCGTAGGCACTGCGGTGGGTGGCGTACTTCCCACTGATGTGGCCCAGGCTGTCACAGCCCGGAACAGGACACCTGGGGGCCAGAAAACGCAGCTGAATGGAGTCGTGGAGGAGGGCGGAGATTAGCGGAGCACTACTGGGGCGTGGACAAGAAAGCTGAGAACTGGAGGGAAATCACTGCATGTACAGTAAAAATAAACCCGTAAATGTTCTAAAATAGGCGGCACGGTGGTGTGGTGGTTAGCACTGTCGCCTCCCAGCAAGAGGGTTCTGGGTTCGAATCCCGGGGGAACCAGGACCTTTCTGGGGGGAGTCTGCATGTTCTCCTGTGTCTGTGGGTTCTCTCCGGGTTCTCCGGCTTCCTCCCACCGTCCAAAAACCTGCATGTTAGGTTGATTGGAGATTGGGGAAATTGCCCTTAGGAGTGGATGTGAGTGTGAGTGGTTGTTTGTCCTTGTGTGTCCTGTGTGTGGCCCTGCGATGGACTGGCGGACTGTCCAGGGTGTACCCTGCCTCTCGCCCGTTGACCACTGGGATAGGCTCCAGTTCCCCCCGCGACCCCATCAGGGAATAAGCGGTATTGATAATGAATGGATGGATGGATGGATGTTCTAAAATAAGACACACGCTGCAACCTAAAACTCAACCCGACTCAAATTAATGGTGGCCAGCCTTTCATCTGGTCCCTACTTCTGTCTTTCTTCAGTCTAACTGACTTTATTACCAGTTTAGATCTGGTTTGGACCCCGGGAAAAACACTTAATCTGTAAGCGTGGAGTGTTTTTCATTCTGAGTTGGATTCGGACTCTATCTCTGCTAATGATGCGTTTCAGGTTAACTGTTGCTATAGAAACTGTTCCTGCTTTCCCTGTCTGGTGGGAACACACGGGACATTTGCTCACTTCAGCAGCTCCGAGTCTTCCTTGTCGTCCTTGGTGGGCGTGGACTTGACTCCTCCTTTCTTGGCTCGAGGGCACCCGGACAAGCTGGCAGAGGAAAGCAGAGGAGAGTTCAGCTGTGAGCGGTGTTCCCCGTTCGATTCCTCTCCTAACCCTAACCCTAACCCTAACCCAGCGTTGTGGACAGGTTCTGCCCCCCGCCCCGCTCCCACCCACACCTTTAAACCACTTTGAGTGACCGTGCGGACACTCGAGCAGTAGTTTTTAGGAGTGGAAAAGGGTCAGAGTAAGTTGAAGCTCGCACCTTCTGTGGGAGGCGTAGTTCCCCGTGATGTGTCCCGATCCGTCGCAGCCCGGAGTCGGACATCTGAGATACACACAGGGCAGTCTGTCAGCCTCACCACAGCCACACTCCTCAGGACACTGCAGCAGCCTCAGTAAACACGCTGGGACGTTTGACTTTTGCTTACATTTGAACATCCTATGACTGATTGGACGTGTCAGCATTATGCATATATGACAGATTACTGTCGGATATGCTCATATATGACAGTGTTATCATATCATAAGAGAGGAGCATGGAGAGAGTTGTAGATGCATAGAGAGCATAGAGTGAACATGTTGAAGATGAGAGTCAGGAGAAAACACACATACTTCAGTTCAGCTGTATGGGCAGCCATGAGGGTCCGAAGTGATTTATCAGCAAGAGGACAGCCTGACAGACTGGAAGATTAGAAAGAGAATGTCAGAGAAGTATACTGACAACAGACTGTCTGTGAACAGCTGAAGGAAAGAGCCAGAAACTGGACCAGACTGAGGAGCCAGGATAGGATTAGGTGGCACACACAGGGAGGAAAAGAGCCCATGTCAAGTGTTCTCTGCTGTCCTGGGGAGCAACTGTTAGTGGAAATGTTGAAAAAGGGAAACATCATCTGAGTAATCGGGCTAGATGATGGTGGAAATCTGCCGGGGTTGCCATGTGTTTTTTCTCTTTAGGTTACAGAGCATGCAGGTCTCAGTCCAGCTGTGCCCGGTGTGCTGGATCTGAGGGGACCCTCAAACTGAGGCTGGCTCAGATGCACTTCAGCCACAGTAATCATCTGAAAATGCTCCTTAATCTGGGTGGAGACATCTAAAAGGCCGGGCGGATGAAGCCCTTTGTGCTAACTCTCTCTGAGCCTGCAGAGACCTGAGGTGGAACTTCGGCTTCCCTGCGCTGAAAAAGAGGCCTTTCTTTCTCTCTATAGCCCACAAGTGTCTACGGCCTGTCTTTAGATGGAACCCATATGGATAAGAGTAATGATTTCTAGTGGCTGATGCTGTTACCGTCTCCTTTCCCTGGCTCTTACCTTCGATGGGACGCATAATTCCCTGTGATGTGCCCGCTTCCATCACAGCCCGGGGTGGGACACCTGAGGCAAAGAGTACACCAGCAAATTAGTCTGACACCACAGCTTGTGTTGCCGAGCAGCTCACGGACTCTAACAGGCGTGTCCCTCAGGGATAACGTTTATCTAAAAGGCCTCAGTTCCACCTCGGTCCCTCTGTGTTTGGCTGAGTAAAGTCCATCTCTTTTGGCCAGAGAAAAGGTTCTATAAGCAGACCCCTGCTGAGAGTGTCCTGCAGGCCCCGGGAGGTCAGAGCTAAAGGTTGGAAAGAGCTGAATGACCATCTGATGAATGAAAGCTGGTCACCAGACCTCACACGGCCAGTCTGACCTTGAGTCCCATGCCCATCCACCTGCAGCCTTCCAGCTCTCATCTGGTCCTTTTGTCCTGGTCTACATCAGCTATTTTTTCCCACAATCTGCTCGTTGGACACGTTCTGTGACGCCCGCTAGGGAGTGAACGTTTTGTAGGGGCTGAGAAGCGCAGCTTCCATGATTCCAGGTGTCCTTCCTAATCAGGGCCTACTTTCCAGGCCTATTTAATCGGACGAGTTACACATTTAGAATAAAACAGATCCCTCGTGGTGCCCGGAAGTTTAGGAATGAATGCAAGACTCACACAAGAACTTCTTTTTTGCTGTCTTTGGGTTGAAACTTGACCTTGAAGCTGCTGGTAGTAACTTCACCGGGGTACTTCCTGTCCTCCAGGTTGTCTTGGTCCTCGTCCTCCCCTTCAGACGAGGTATACGAAGGAGCTGTGAACTCCATCTGAGGAGATGTAAAGCATAGGTCACTCAGGCTCTGGTGAGAGCAGTGATGGCTCTATCCCTTCAGTGATGTAAGACGATATTGAGTGTGTTCCGTACCTCCTCGTTGTCTTCCTCCTTGACGTCGCTCGGCTTGGTGAAATCCAGGGGCCCCTCCCAGTCCGGCTGAGCGTTGCCCTGAGACAACGTGGCCCCGACAAGCTGAGAGGAGGAGGATGAGGATGACGAGGGCTCCGGAGACTGGACGCCCTCCCTCTTGGTCTTCTTCATGCTGAGGTCCAGGGTGCCGTTCTCGTCCACCTCGATATCTGACTCCTGAAGGGTGGCAGGACAGATGTGACCCAGGTGTGGTTGGAATATGAGGAAGTGGCTGCTCACATTCTACATGCACAAGTCTTGATCCAATTCCAAACCCGGTTCTTTCGCTTTAGTCCACTCTCACCCAGTTGTTCCTCTTTAGCCCCCTGTAACCCAGTTCTGTGTCTTTTTATCCTGCTGTCATATAGTAGTGAACAACATTTACATTTTTGTGGACATGTTTTTTGCCAAAAGCCAATTAAGAGGTAGCATTCACTTTTTTTTCTTGTACTTGAGCCTAAAAACATAAAAGATAACAGCACATTTTCAAATGATTTGGAGGTACTTTTCTGCCTTTTTAATGTAATTATAAATACATAGTAAAACATTGCTTTTAAGGTAATATCAGTTTTTACACTGTCCGAGTCTGATTTGCTCATTTTTTCAGGATCTTTTTTTGTACCTTGGGGCAGGGCTCCTGGGGGGCTTTGGAGCTGAGGCTCTCGGGTCTCTCCCAGCAGCGGGTGGACAGGTTGAGGATGGCCGTGGCCGCCATGTGAGCCGCCTCTGCGTCCTGGCTGTAATCGTATCCGCTGGAGGACAGGCTGCTTTTGGGGAAGCCTCCGGAGACACAGTGGCTTGGGGAGGACTCCTTGGGGAAGGATTTAGCTGTGTGCGGGTAAAGCAGAGTGAGTTCAGCGGGTCAGCGGGAAGCACGCGGACTCCAGTGTATCTCAACACCGTAAAGGCCAGTAGTTATCCACATCTGACCACTGGCTAATTGTTAGAAGTACAACAACCCCCATAGGTATGAAGCTCAACAGGTAAATAACAAACATAGTAACTCATTACTAATTGATTTAGCTTGATCCTCAGCATCTGGCTCTCACATTCCCTCACCATATCAGAACAAGTACTACTGCCTTCTGCGTCCAATCAGTGTTCCAGATCTTTCCATTTCGAATGTAGTTTCTCAGTGTTTGCTGTTACATTTGACCTGATTGTTTTAGATTTGCCAAATATGTTTTGTACCTTTTCTTTGCCTTCCATGTACGATGGACACGTTCAGTTATACCAACAAGGTGTAAATGGCTGTTTTTGATCCTGACAGGTTAGGACCAGCATGAATGACAGACTTGTCCTAAAAGTCATGCAGTTACCGACTATCCACACGTCTTGCAAAAAGTTGTTTCATTCAGTCACAATGACAATCAACAACAAGGAATAGAAGTTCACGGCATTCGTCCTGCTGAAAATGCTAACAGCCCAGACTCAGGACTGACCCAAACCGCCATGTTTTTTTACAAGCACGTGTTCGCAGTTTGTGCTCCAAACTAAAACTGAGTGCTTCAGCTGAGTAATGCCAGTAATGGAGAGTGACGGGGTATGGTGGGGGTCTTACATTTGAACGCTTTGGGCGAGGTGTCAGAGACGCCGGGGGTCTTTGGAATGATCATACGCTTTCCAAACACCTGGACATCAAAGCTTGCATAGTCAAAAGACACCTTGGAGTATTTCTCCAGCTCCTTGGCCAGGTTAGCGCGAGGCGTGGTGGTCACTGTGTTGGGCCTGTAGCTGCCATACTGAGGGATCTCCAGCTGTTTCACAAAACACATGGGTCTGCAAGAAGAGCCACAAGTTCTGTAACATCCCCTGGCAGACGTGGACGGGCAGCTGGGCGTCGAACGCTCTGCTCACCTGAGCACTCTGTCAGAGTTGGAAGAGGGTTCGCTGGCTGACGCTGGTAGGTGGACCTGCTTGTCCTGGCTGCGGTTCAGCTTGGTTGCTGCTGCTATTGGGCAGCCGGACAGACTGACAGGACACACCCACATGTTTGTGTTCAGTAACAGTCACACAGTAGGAAAACTCAGTAGGAAACATTTGTTTATGGGTTAGTTGTTTAAGAAAAGTGAAGTTTTAGTACATGTTTTTGTGTAAATGTAGATATGTTCACAATCTTCTATTCATGATATCATAATATAGAGTGTAATCTTAATAATGTCACCCAAAATTGAGCTAATTCCTATGACATATACTCAAACTACAAACTACAAATGAGTGTCAAAGCCAGTTTAGAGAAGACCTTTGTCTGGTACTCGGTCTTAGTGATGTGTTAGATGTTAACGGTGGTAGTCAGCCGAGGTCAGTGCTGTGTGTTCCAGTCCTGTGTGTGTTTGTGTGTGTTTGTGGGTGTTGGATTAACCTGCGGTGCGTGTTGCGGTTACTGTTCACATGTCCTTGGCCTGTGCAGCCAGGAGTGGGACACTTCAAGACATTCTCATGCATGGCCAGAACTAAAGACACACAGCAGATGCAGACTCGTGTCAGTGTGTTAAGTTGGCTGTAGATGTCAGTATCAGGTTAAGGAGGGCTGTAATGAAAGCACAAGCTAGAGAGCAGTTACCAAAAACAGACGCTTTGAGCAACAGGAGGGTGTGGTAGTAGTAGTCATGGTCATTCTAACAGCACTGGTACCAGTACGCACCCAACCTGTGCTGCAGCTTTCACAGGGACACAACATGCATCACACTTGTCACCTCTGTTCATAGTAACATGCACTCACTCTCTGGAGGGATCCGGTCTTTATGAGGACATCCAGATAAACTGCGATGGTGAGGGTATAGCCCAGTGACATGACCTGTGCCATCGCAGCCCGGGGTCGGACACTTCACTTCCTTCTTGTCTGAAAATAGTGATGCAGAAGATGACTTTTTGAATAGAGGATGAGTTTCTATGACCAGTGGATGTTAACAGTGGTTTTGTGGGTAATGAGGGCTGAGTGAGGGCTGCAGAGGCTTCCCTAACCCTTTCCTGTGTGGGGTCTGAATGTGGTCCCTGTGTGTTTGTAGGTTCTCCGGCTTCCTCTCACCATCCAAAAGATGCCTGTGACTGGTGACCTAACTTTTCCCAACAAGTGCATGTGAGTGTGCATGGATGTTTGTCCCTGTGTGGCCCTGAGAGGGACAGGTGACCTGTCCAGGGTGTACTGGGAGGGAGCCAGTACAGAAAATGATTGGATTTATACCCTGAATGGAATCGAGTCAGGGGGCAGTGAGCGGGGACATGATTAGGGCCAAAGTGGGGTGTTCCTGTAAATTCAAACTTCAGTGTCAAAGTGGACCATTTGGTTCAGGGTCCAAGTCCAGCATGCAACGGATGACGTGACCTCTGCCTGTGAGGTGCTGCTAAAGGCCCCCAGCTGAGTCAGCGACATATCTAAGTCAAGCTCCATGTTTAGGTTCTTCTGTCCCAGAAAGCCACAACCACAGGAACTCAATCACAGGAAACCGAATTCAACCTGGCTATGGTCAGACAGAAACCGGGGATACTTTCTCCCACTGACCCTTTTAGGACGTTCCTCTGAATGATACATGTCAGCAGGAGGTCCTGATCACCTTAACCTAAATAAGGCCAATTCGCTGATGGGGTCTTAGTGCTGTTCTACAGCTGTTCTAGAGAGGAACCGGGATGAGGTTTGTCAATGCTGAATGCTCAACATTGAGTTTGTCTATCCTAATGATAAAACAGTGGACACTTTGAGGGAAGGGCTGGTTCTGTGTCTCTCTAAACGAATGAGAACTGAATTACGTCTGGGGCCACTTTAAGCACACGTTTTGAGGTTCCCTGAATGCTTGTGGATAAAAGCCACACAAGTTTGGGACAAGGCAGGAACCTGATTAATGGTAAATGTTTGGGGGGATGGTAATAACAGGAGGGCCTTGGAAGGCCACACACATCACATTGGGGCTCGGCTCATGATTTGCACTTTGCAAAGCTAGAGAATACTTGAATTTTCATGCAATGCAATGCATTTAAAGCTGTACAAGGATTATAACCAAATTTGAACTAAAGTCACTCATTCTTTGTCATTTTAGAGTCCCGGTTTACTGCTGCTCACCTGTCATACTACATGTAAATGTAGACGACCACGTAGCTTTCAAAATCTCCCCTCCAACTCTCATTTTTAACACTTAAAATAAACCTGAATCTTTTCAAGAAGGACATTTGACCTACCTAGTGCTTCATACATTCAGGCTAAGAGTAGCCAAAATGATGGACAGCTGCCTGTAAACGTCCATAAGCAGGTTAAAGGGCTACAGCCCAAAACCAAGATTAAAACTTTGAACAGTTAAAGATTAGACTGATGGGGGGCTAATTATCCGAGGACCACCTGAACTGAAACCCTCTCATCCTGGTCCACTCCCTCTGAGCCCCAGCTCCCTCTGGACCCCAGCTCCCTCTGGTTCCCAGCTCCCTCTGGTTCCCAGCTCCCTCTGGTTCCCAGCTCCCTCTGGACCC